GCCATGCCTTCTGGTCTCATGTGGTGTTATTTCCGTGTGCGGATTCGGAACCAAACTCTTTATAGTCATTACCCCTTTTTCATATAGCATCCTTACCAATGGCCCCCTACATTCAACATTAAAAAATGAGCATCCTGTGAGCTGACTCCACTAGCTGGTTATTTATACTCTTTGATGTCATAACCTGTGTAATGCCTCAACTTATGCCCCCCCCCCCTCTACATGTTGCGAAAAGGTCCAGGTCCAAATAGGGGGCCATGGCCGCCAATTTGGGAACCAGTGTTCTAGATCCTTTATGTTGATATCTTGTTCTAGTGTGATACCTGCTTGATGGGAGTTGGGATACCTGCTTCATACCTGCTAGGAGTTCTACTTCCCAAGCCCGGCCCAAGGCCAGGCTTAACTTGTAAGAGCTTGGCCCAACAGGCTGTTACTTGGAGCGGCCCGTAGGCCCACATACCCACCACAGCCCGGTTGGTCCGGCACTTCTTGAAGACCCTATGACTGATCTGACTGCGTTTTAAATATCGTTTCCGTTTTTACATTTTAGATTTTTCCATAGCACAGAAGCTGGAACTTACCTTCATTAAAGATCATATTATTGTCTGTGACCCATTGAAAGACCTGAGAGTGTGCCGAGATCCTTTACTGCTAGAATCCACTCAGTAAAACATCTAAACTATTGGGACCGACTAAAGAGCCTAAATCTGTACTCCCTTGAGCGCAGGCAGGAGAGATACATAATAATTTACACATGGAAAATAGTAGAGGGGCTGGTCCCAAACCTGCACACAGAAATAACATCACATGAGACCAGGAGGCATGGCAGGATGTGCAGAATACCCCCGTTGAAGAGCAGAGGTGCAACAGGTACTCTGAGAGAGAACTATCAACATCAGAGGCCCGAGACTGTTCAACACGCTTCCACTACACATAAGGGGCATAACTGGCCGACCCCTCACAGTGTTCAAGAGAGAACTGGATAAGCACCTCCAAAGGATACCTGATCAACCAGGCTGTGACTCATACGTCAGCCTGCGAGCAGTCACGTCCAATAGCCTGGTTGACAAGTCCAGCAAAGAGAAGGCCTGGTCGACGACCGGGCCGCGGGGTCGCTGAGCCCCGAAATCACCCCAAGGTAAGGTATCACCCAATCATTATCCCCCGCTTCCATGCATCAACCTGTCATTATTCCCAGAATTCCCTTCGTTTCAACCAATCATCATTTTATCGTTTTTCCTTCAATTATACAACTATTTATCTTTTGCTTCCACAACCGACCCGGTCATCTTGGCTGAGCTGGTTAACACCTGAGCTGGGAAGGGGTCAGGATAAGGATTTGGGATGGGACGGGGAGGGAAGGAATGGTGCCCAACCACTTGGACGATCGGGTATTGAACGCCGACCTGCATGAAGCGAGACCGCCGCTCTACCGTCCAGCCCAAGTGGTTGGGCTAAGAGAGAGGAAGATGGAGGTCGGGGGTGAACCTTCAGATACAGACTGATCAGCAATCGTCGATGTTTTGACCTCCGTCTTTCCCTTCCCTGATTGATGAAGATTAAGCCACCCAAAAGGTGGCACGGGCATGACTAGCCCGTAAGTGGAGGCCCTTTTGAGCCATTACCAGTATCAATAGATGATACTGGAGATATGTGAAGGTGCGACTGCACCCTGAGTGACGGGAGATGTCTCCCGTAAGTTCCCTTCCCTGTGTGGGAAGGTCTCAAGTATCCCATGAAGGGTGCCCTCCGGACGCCTCAGGGTCACTCAGGTAATACTGCCAGGAACCCAACAATAACCTTAAAGAAAGGCGCATTATACGCAAGTGCGACGATCAAAAGTGACAATATCCCGACAAAGACCCTAATCTTTAGCCACGTTATTGTGGCTCATCGCCTCCAGTGACCCTGATGTTCGCGTGGCGGGGCTAACCCCTGAGGGCACGAGGCTGCCTGTCGTGTGAGGCAGTGAGTGGCCTTTGTTGACCACCTTTGGAAAGAGATTTCAGAGGAATTTTATTATATCATGGTCAACTAAAACGCGCAATTAATAGTTAGATCCAAAGTTTCCACGAGAATCAAGCACTGCCCGATCTTTGGCCAGGCCTCCTGGTTGATGGTCTGATCAACCAGGCTGTTAGACTTACTGTAAATATATAGCTATTGAAATAGAACATTCTCTGTAACTAGCTGAATGGTAATTATAAGGTGTGAAGGATAGATGAAATTGTTTATGTAATAATCTCCGTTGAGGTCTGGTAAAGACCTTTTGTGCCCTGTAATGCTTTTTGCGCTACCGCTCACAGGATGAGTATGGGGTGCACAATAAACTAGGCGTCTCCGGTGGCAACAATCAAAACCTACATCCCTGAATATTTAACTCTTTGAATGGAGGCCTGGTCGAGGACCGAGGGCGGGGACGCTAAGCCCCCAAATCATCTCAAGGTAACCATCTCAAGGTAACCATCTCAAGGTAAGGTACACGATGGTCAACAAGTGATAAGTGCTGGAAATAGATACGGCGAAAATTAACACCAGGAAACTTAAAATCGAATCAGGGACTAATAGTCTTGAAAGTGTGGAATAACTTAAAGAGCAAGAACTCGCTTCCAAAGTTAAGTGTTGGGTAAGTCAGTAACACATCCAATACCAGTACCACCACCACCACTACCTCATACAAAAGGCACTATACCAATACCAACACATACTTTACCAACACCAAAGCACTAATTCCGCCTCGCACCCAACTTACAGCAACAGTCTGCACATTTCTCGTGGCACCCAAAAAATTCTTATTCATTTGCTGTAAAGGAAAACGTTATGGATCAGGCTAGCAGTGTTGACGAAGGTACCGAACCTCCAGGATGGCACTCCAGCTGTGGCACACCCGAGCTGTGACATTTCTACGCTACAACAAATTCAAGCTGTTCTAGTTCTAAGCTGCAACACTTCTAGTATCTAACACAACAGTGTACAGGTGCACAGCAACATCATTACAGGTCCAAAACCCGCGTCAGTGTTCCCCTTCGCTAGCCCTTCATGGTGCTGGGCGTGGGAGCAAGGTTTCCGGCCAGGGTTGGGTCTGGAAGACCAGTTTATGTTAAGACAGGAAGGCGTGGGAGGAGTGGAGGCTGGGTTTCCGCCTCCATCTACCGACAAAGACCGCCCGAGGGTTTAAAGGTAGTTAACCTGTAGCTGAGGGCCAGGCTTTCATGGTGGTAACTCAAAGATCGGTGAAGCTGTTGCTGGTAGCGGTCCGCAGGCCCACACACTCATCATAACCCGACTGATGTGGCACTCTTTGCCTGAACTTGTTCAATTTCTCTTGAGAATTTTTACTTGTATTCGAGCAATGTGAAGGAGGGGTGGAAAGTTGTGGGCCTCTGATGTTCTGTTTTTTTTTATTGTGCCTATGTCACTTCTTCTCTGAAGTGACAACAAAAGGAGTGCCGGACCAACCGGGCTGTGGTGGGTATGTGGGCCTGCGGGCCGCTCCAAGCAACAGCCTGGTGGACCAAACTCTGACAAGTCAAGCCTGGCCTCAGGCCGGGCTTGGGGTGTAGAAGAACTCCCAGAACCCCATCAACCATGTATCAACCATAAGGTTTCATTCTGTATCTGGCTCTAAGGTGTGCATATTTGGGACCTCGCTTCCAAGTATCTTCCATGTATGTTTGTCTGTCTGTCTGTCTGTCTGTATGTAAGTACTCACCTAGTTGTGCTTGAGGGGGTTGAGCTTTGGCTCTTTAGTCCCGCTTCTCACCAGTCAATCTACTAGTATACAATTCCTGAGCTTCTCGAACTCTATCATATCCACATTTGAAACTGTGTATGGAGTCAGCCTCCACCACATCACTGCCTAATGCATTCCATTTACTAACTACTCTGACACTGAAAATGTTCTTCCTAATTTGTCTGTGGCTCATTTGGGTACTCAGCTTCCACCTGTGTCCCCTTGTGTGTGTATCACCCGTGTTAAATGTTCCATTCTTGTCTACCCCTTGTCAATTTTCCTGAGAATTTTGTATGTGGTGATTATGTTTCCCCGAGCTCTTCAGTCTTCCAGCGACGTGAGGTGCAGTTCACGCAGCCTTTCCTTGTAACTCGCGCCTCTTAGTTCGAAGGCATTCGATAAATGTGACCAAGGAGTGATAACACACAAAATGAGGTCAATACGAATAACTGGTAAAATAGGACGCTGGATACTCAGTTTTCTGTCGATCAGAACACAAAGAGTAACAGTCAACCATATAAAATCGAGCCCAAGCTCTGTACCTCAAAGGTACAAAGGTACCTCAAAGCTCTGTACCTCAGAGTACAGTCCTTGCACCACTGCTATGCCTTATTCTCATATCAGATATAGACTAAAATACGTCACATTTTCGTACCATCCTTAGCAGATGACACAAAAATCAGCATGAAAATTACCTCTGCTGAAGACATTGAAAAACTACAAGCAGATATTAATAAAGTTTTCGACTGGGCAGCGGAAAAGAACATGATGTTTAACAGCGATAAATTCCAGAGACTCAGATACGGTATATATGAGAACCTTAAAACATATTACAGGGTACAAAACACAATCAAATCTGCCCATAGTAGGAAAGCAACACGTCAAGGATTTAGGAATAACGATGTCCGACGACCTAACGTTTAGGGAGCATAACCAAGCAAATATTGCGTCAGCCAGAAAAATGATAGGATGGATAGAACTTTCAAATCGAGATATTCCATCACAATGGTTGTACTGTAGAGGCCATATACGGCGTGACTGTAGAGGCCATATACGCCGTGGCTGTAGAGGCCATATACGGCGTGACTGTAGAGGCCATATACGCCGTGGCTGTAGAGGCCATATACGCCGTTACCTTACCTTGAGGTTACCTTGAGGTGCTTCTGGGGCTCAGTGTCCCCGCGGCCCGGTCGTCGACCAGGCCTCCTGGTAGCTGGACTGATCAACCAGGCTGTTAGACGCGGCTGCTCGCAGCCTGACGTATGAGTCACAGCCAGGCAGTAGAGGGCATATACGCCGTGGCAGTAGAGGCCATATACGCCGTGGCAGTAGAGGCCATATACGCCGTGGCAGTAGAGGCCATATACGCCGTGGCAGTAGAGGCCATATACGCCGTGGCAGTAGAGGGCATATACGCCGTGGCAGTAGAGGCCATATACGCTGTGGCAGTAGAGGCCATATACGCCGTGGCAGTAGAGGCCATATACGCCGTGGCAGTAGAGGCCATATACGCCGTGGCAGTAGAGGCCATATACGCCGTGGCAGTAGAGGGCATATACGCCGTGGCAGCAGAGGCCATATACGCCGTGGCAGTAGAAGCCATATACGCCGTGGCAGCAGAGGCCATATACGCCGTGGCAGTAGAGGCCATATACGCCGTGGCAGTGGAGGCCATATACGCCGTGGCAGTAGAGGCCATATTCGCCGTGGCAGTAGAGGCCATATACGCCGTGGCAGCAGAGGCCATATACGCCGTGGCAGTAGAGGCCATATACGCCGTGGCAGTAGAGGCCATATACGCCGTGGCAGCAGAGGCCATATACGCCGTGGCAGTAGAGGCCATATACGCCGTGGCAGTAGAGGCCATATACGCCGTGGCAGTAGAGGCCATATACGCCGTGGCAGTAGAGGCCACATACGCCGTGGCAGTAGAGGCCATATACGCCGTGGCAGTAGAGGCCATATACGCCGTGGCAGTAGAGGCCATATACGCCGTGGCAGTAGAGGCCATATACGCCGTGGCAGTAGAGGCCACATACGCCGTGGCAGTAGAGGCCATATACGCCTGGTGGCCAGACAGACTACCCCGACAGTGGTGGCGTGTCTGCAGGAGTGGGGCGCCCGGGCCGAGCACCACAATCAATACACCACCACACTGCCTCACCCCGCCTCCACCACACTCACCACCACCACCACCACCACCACCAGCCTCCACCACACTCACCACCACCAGCCTCCACCACACTCACCACCACCACCACCAGCCTCCACCACACTCACCACCACCACCACCAGCCTCCACCACACTCACCACCACCACCAGCCTCCACCACACTCACCACCACCAGCCTCCACCACACTCACCACCACCAGCCTCCACCACACTCACCACCTCCACCACCAGCCTCCACCACACTCACCACCACCACACTCACCACCACCAGCCTCCACCACACTCACCACCTCCACCACCAGCCTCCACCTCACTCACCACCACTACCAGCCTCCACCACACTCATCACCAGCCTCCACCACCACCACCAGCCTCCACCACCACCACCAGCCTCCACCACACTCACCACCACCAGCCTCCACCACACTCACCACCACCAGCCTCCACCACACTCACCACCACCAGCCTCCACCACACTCACCACCACCACACTCACCACCACCAGCCTCCACCACACTCACCACCACCACCACCAGCCTCCACCACACTCACCACCACCACCACCAGCCTCCACCACACACACCACCACCACACTCACCACCACCAGCCTCCACCACACTCACCACCTCCACCACCAGCCTCCACCACACTCACCACCACCACACTCACCACCACTACCAGCCTCCACCACCACCACCAGCCTCCACCACACTCACCACCACCAGCCTCCACCACACTCACCACCACCAGCCTCCACCACACTCACCACCTCCACCACCAGCCTCCACCACACTCACCACCACCACACTCACCACCACCACCAGCCTCCACCACCACCACCAGCCTCCACCACACTCATCACCAGCCTCCACCACCACCACCAGCCTCCACCACACTCACCACCATCAGCCTCCACCACACTCACCACCACCACCAGCCACCACCACACTCACCACCACTACCACCAGCCTCCACCACACTCACCACCACCACCAGCCTCCACCACACTCACCACCACCAGCCTCCACCACACTCACCACCACCACCAGCCTCCACCACACTCACCACCATCAGCCTCCACCACACTCACCACCACCACCACCACCAGCCACCACCACACTCACCACCACCACCACCACCAGCCTCCACCACACTCACCACCACCACCAGCCTCCACCACACTCACCACAACCACCAGCCTCCACCACACTCACCACCACCACCAGCCTCCACCACACTCACCACCACCAGCCTCCACCACACTCACCACAACCACCAGCCTCCACCACACTCACCACCATCAGCCTCCACCACACTCACCACCACCACCACCACCAGCCACCACCACACTCACCACCACCACCACCACCAGCCTCCACCACACTCACCACCACCACCAGCCTCCACCACACTCACCACAACCACCAGCCTCCACCACACTCACCACCACCACCAGCCTCCACCACACTCACCACCACCAGCCTCCACCACACTCACCACCACCACCAGCCTCCACCACACTCACCACCACCACCAGCCTCCACCACACTCACCACCACCACCAGCCTCCACCACACTCACCACCACCACCACCAGCCTCCACCACACTCACCACCTCCACCACCAGCCTCCACCACACTCACCACCTCCACCACCAGCCTCCACCACACTCACCACCACCACACTCACCACCACCAGCCTCCACCACACTCACCACCTCCACCACCAGCCTCCACCACACTCACCATCACTACCAGCCTCCACCACACTCATCACCAGCCTCCACCACCACCACCAGCCTCCACCACAACCACCAGCCTCCACCACACTCACCACCACCACCAGCCTCCACCACACTCACCACCACCACCAGCCTCCACCACACTCACCACCACCACCAGCCTCCACCACACTCACCACCACCACCAGCCTCCACCACACTCACCACCACCACCACACTCACCACCACCACCAGCCTCCACCACACTCACCACCACCACCAGCCTCCACCACACTAACCACCACCACCAGCCTCCACCACACTCACCACCACCACCAGCCTCCACCACACTCACCACCACCACCAGCCTCCACCACACTCACCACCACCACCACACTCACCACCACCAGCCTCCACCACACTATCACCCATAACCTCATAAAAGCAATAAAAATGCTCTAACATAAGCATAAGAGCCATTAACTTCAGATTTCTCAAGCACGGCTACTAACTTTTTGTATTAACTTTCGTCAAGGTGTTTCACCGTGCTGCGAGTTCCTTCACTGGTGGAGGTTGATTAATAGAGGCTCTTGATCTCTCAGCTCGGCGCTGGGACACGCGCACGGCCGCTGCTGGACCGGTACACGGTGCCTCTGTCACCGTAACAATGTGACAACTAGTGTCTTAGTCAATAAATAGTCATCCAACATCATGGTTACAATGTCCTCTCCACGTGATAATTCGTGTGCGCGCGTGCGAGCACTTGGCTTACGTGCGCGTGAATGTGCGTGGGAATGAGTGAGTGAATGTGTGCGTGCATGTGAAGGAGCGTGCGTGCACAGGGGACGAAGAGGGAAGCGTAGGTTTAAAGAATGTATGCACGCGTGTTTGTGTATGGATAGGTATTATTATCACCCCAAGTTGAAGGCAGTGGACACGCTTAAGAACCTGTTCAACAGGAGGGCGTGAAGGGAAGACACTCTTCATGGCGGAGGGGACGATGTCATTTCTTAACATTAAGCTATATAGTGGTACCGGCTTAAGTGCTCTCTCGTGTTTACCTTAGCTCATCTTCAGGGAGATATGGAGGCGAGTGTGGACGTCAACAGTGGCCGGCTGGCCGCCTCCACCTTCCTCATCACACCCAACAACAAAGGCAGGAAAAACTGCTCATTTGTTTCCGTTGAAGAATTACCCTCGGGGGGTAAGGGGGCCTCGTAGCCTGGTGGATAGCGCGCAGGACTCGTAATTCTGTGGCGCGGGTTCGATTCCCGCACGAGGCAGAAACAAATGGGCAAAGTTTCTTTCACCCTGAATGCCCCTGTTACCTAGCAGTAAATAAGTACCTGGGAGTTAGTCAGCTGTCACGGGCTGCTTCCTGAGGGTGGAGGCCTGGTCGAGGACCGGGCCGCGGGGACACTAAAGCCCCGAAATCATCTCAAGATAATCAAGATCTCAAGATAACCCGCGAGCCTCCGCAGTACGCCTGCCATCCGTGACAGCTCCTACAACACCCGGCCTCACCCTACAACCCCGCACACACAACACACGGGTTTGGGGAGTAGAAGAACTCCCAGAACCCCATCAACCAGGTATCAACCATCAACACACACACCAGTACACCGAGGTGTAAGCCCGGGCCAATATTAACCCAAGAGGCCTCACGGATAAACAGCCTTCCTCCAAGACCAACAACGATCACGAGTGGATAAATATCTGGCGCCTTCCCCCAGCAACGCTCACCAGACAGTTATAGCACACCTTTGGTGAGCTACAGTAGCAGAGGCTCCATCACGCCTACCACCACCACGCCTACCACCACGCCTACCACCACGCCTACCATCACGCCTACCACCACCACGCCTACCACCACGCCTACCATCACCACCACCTAACCCACCACCACAACCTAACCCACTTACGCAATATTCAACATCGCCTTTGCGGACGCAGCTATATTTATCAACTAGAACATACCATATATATCTACCTTATAATGGTTCCAGATCAATATCCCCGCGGACCGTTCTCTGACCAGGCCTTCTGGTTGGTGAGCTCGTCAACCACACTCTTAGACGAATAATTATGTCATTAGACTTAATAGTAATTGTCACAACAGCCAGGAAAATTATAGACTGGATAACACAAAGCTTTCAAACAGGAGACGTCCAGACAATGCTGTTTGTTTTTAAGACCTTAAAGTGGACATTTATACCCAAATCCATTCAGTTTTACATCTAAATTATTGGAAATATTTAAAATTATCATAATCTATCAGAACAACATTAGGAGAAATTGTTTCCAAATCCACCAAACTGAAATAATTCCTTACGATACAAGGGGGATAGTATGTGCAAATGGCTCCATTGAAAAGAGGGAGAATAATATGCACGGTTACCTTACCTTGCGAATATTTCGGGGCTCAGCGTCCCCGCGGCCCACTCCTCGACCAGGCCTGGAGGCCCCACTAAGAGCTAAAGAGCCCAGACTCTTAAACACGACTTAAACACATCCATACGATTACCTGATCGCTGAGGCGGTTTGATCAGGTAATCTGGTGTGGTGTTTGACAGCAAGCCTCAAGCGCCAGTTGTCTGTTGACTGATGAGACCACTAAGCTGACGGTCTTGATCACACACCTGGTCAATATTACCATCTACTACGTTGATACCTGCTTGATGGGGTTCTGGGAGTTCTTCTACTCCCCCAAACCCGGCCCGAGGCCAGGCTTGACTTGTGAGAGTTTGGTCCACCAGGCTGTTGCTTGGAGCGGCCCGCAGGCCCACATACCCACCACAGCCCGGTTGGTCCGGAACTCCTTGGAGGAATAAATCTAGTTTCCTCTTGAAGATGTCCACCATCTACTACGTCGTCGTATTAAATACCCAAGGGTAGCACCAGGTGTTACCTGGAGTAGCACCAGGTGCTACTGGTGCTACCTGGAGCCTGGCGGGTAATACAACCGGCCTGTGGTGGAGGATATGTGGGCCTGCGGGCCGCTCCAAGCACCAGCCTGTTGGACCAAGTTATCACAAGTCGGGGTAGTAAAAGAACTACCGAAACCCTCTTCAGGTATGCTCCAGGTAGCCACAACGTTCCCAGCCTAATACGTAGCTGCCAACACACCACCGAGCACTGTACTAAACATAACTACAGTCAACCTGTT